TGCTGAACCCATTTGGGAACGTATGTTCTCCCACGGGGCTTCTTTGGAAAGCCAACCCTGTTCCAGGTCAGAGTGGCAAACATAGTATATAATTACAGACCGAAAAAGGAGGCTAGTGCTTTCTAGATAACTATGTAATTCCAGTCTGTGAAATTTTGTTCCTTTCCGGCTCCCTGAGCTGATGCCAAATATCCCCTGACCTAGACTTTGAGTTGACTAGGAGAATGTGTGTATATTTATTTACCCTGAGAACTTACACTGGATGTTGACAACGTAACTTGTCCCAAGTTCTTCAGTCTGCAAACAAGTCAGACATTTCTGCTTTGGACAAAGGAATCCAAAATTGTCAACATTTGAAGTTTGGCTGACTCAAATGATGTATCTCTCCACAGTGTGATGCTTGGAAGAACAGCCTTGTGGGTTATGCTTATTCTCTGCAACCAGAGAGCATTATTCCACAGATGCCCACGTGGGGCACAATGTCTCTAGGGATATGCATCACCAAACTCTTAACATTTTTCTGTTTGAAGCAATGATAAATGGTAAATTCAGAGATCAAGGTCAGCTGATATCAGTAGCTGTCTGATGGGGCAGGGACCTCGTCCAGCTTTCCAAAATGCCTCCATAAAGCTGTTCTTACTCCACCACAGCAGGCAAACAGGCATGGCTAGGGTGTAGGATATAACTGTGAAAGGTCCTGAATCCAAGGCCAAAGGGGCTTCACATTCTGGGGTAGAGTAGAAGGAGCCCACCAATCATTAAGATGCCAGGAAATTAATGAATATGGAGCTATGGAGGTAGGCACAAAGTCTTGATATCAAAGACTGACAAATAGAGATGTGCAACTTTTCTTAAGTTGCCCAAGACATTCAAATCTCTGGTAGCAACATTTATCCTTGGCTTTGGTCTACAGTGGTCTGCCCATCCTCCTTCACCACCCTACCTTCCCCCTTCCTCATCCCACTACATCACCCAGACATGTCACTGATGGTTGGTAGAACCAACGGGTGGGGGAGAGAGGAGAGAATTACTCAGAAAGACACAGCAAGTCAACTTGGAAGCGGTCCCTCTAAGGAAGGTTTCACTTGGCTGCACCTCTTTCTGGTTGCGTGGTGTTAGAGCTGAGAGCTACCACGGTTGTCAAGGAAATGGTACTTTTTCCAAGGGACACTTGGAGCAGCAGCAGAATGACACTGCCATATCACCATGGTAAGCAGTGCATGACTCACTATCCCACTGGTGTGTCTAGACATTTTAGTGGCATCTTTAAATTTCCGGAGTCATGACGGTATATGTTTTTCTAAATTGAATGAAACCTCTAGGGCATGAATTAGGTCATATTTATTCAGCATCTCAGCATATTGCCTGGCACAAAGTAGGCCCTTAATAAATTTAGTGGAAAAAGACTTCATTCACGAGCATCATTTTATTTGATCCTTTTAACAGCCCTTTGGAGTGAGAACTGTTTTCCCACACCTTCCCACAGTGAAAACTCCTGATAACTCTCTTATTTGAAACCTTCCCTTATATCACTTTAACTAGCTTGAATCACCTCCCAGGGAACTGGACATGTATAGGTGGGGACATTTTTCTCTTCCCACTTTGAAGGCCATTCTGCAGCACTGAGCCTGACACTGAGAAGTGAGCGTCTATCCTCTCTGTGCTTGCAAGCTTTTAGGGATTCAGGAATAGCACCACTCTGCACAGGAAAAAAAAAAAAAAAATCATCCAACCAACTCCCACATAAGTGCGGGATTTATTTGTTTGGTGGGAACCAAGGTGCTGCTCCCATTTCAGTCTCTGCAGTTTCTCATGAGATAATACAGCATCACTGAACTCTGGCAAGAAAGCAAATTCCTGATAGATGCAGACATGGAGTCACTCACCGGTCCCCACTGGGATTGGATACATATGTAAATGTTACACATATTTATTTATATGTGAGAATTAATTCTTAGTCCATTCATCTGCAAACCACAAACATGTCACTGAGGAAGCCACAACCTTTCACAGACTGTTTGAAATAATTCCTCAGTCTCCAAACAGCTCCAGCGGCTGCATGCCATGCTCCAGGCTGTCCCCCATCAGCATGCTAAGGCTGTCCGTGTGTAGAATATGTCCCAGGAACCGACAGTTTTGAATTGAGCATGTGTTTCCTTTCCTAAATGGTTCTTCTCCAGATTCGTGACCTTTCATCAGGTTCACTGGATAATACGTTTTGACCAAAAAAAATAATGTCCTTCCTCAGAATTAACATAGATAACCCGTTAGTTTTCCTTCAGCCTTGAGTTTCTATGACTCTCAGATGTTGCATTCTATTTTCCACTGCCTGGTCCCCCTCTCCCCTGCTCAAGTCATAGCCACAGAATTTTTCTTCTTAATTCCTAGATAGCTCTAGCTAACAACAACAACAAAATCAGTTCATCAGAATATTCTCCTCTGTCTACCCCAAAGCACTCCATCAAAGCTAATCCTTAACTCCTACTCTCATTGTTCAGATTTTAACACAAGATGGATAGTGTCTGCATGACTGTTCCCCATGAAATCATGGCAGGGACAAGAATGACCTCATAGGCACCTCCGCTGTGGCGTCTGTCACCCCCACCCCAGCTCAAATGCCTGCTGCAGCATTGTTCCCAGAGGTCTGGTGGGGAGGGCAGCTTCTACACTGGTTCTTCTGAGCAGGTGGGAAGCTGTTATTATAGAGATGGAGACACCCACACTTTGAGAAATAGGACTGAATGTTAACATTTAAAGCAGGTTGCATTGAGTTTAGATGCTTTGGTGCCCTGGATCAAT